ATGTTGCATCATTTCACCTGTGTTTCCTTAGGTTCTTGGGGATATGGCCATTCCTTCTGACCCTGGAGCTTTTTCTTTCCCGTAAGGCTGCAAAATTTAGCCTTAGGGCCAGATCCCACTGGCAAAGAGGATTGGAATAAGTGTGTGAATCTGGACGTGTTTGTGGAGATGTGCAAAAAACTGTGATTGATCAGCTTTTCTGCATATCTGTGTGGAACACGTTCCGATTTGGACACTTATTCCAATCCTCTTTTCCAGTGGGATCTGGCCCTTAGGCATCGTAATAGAGCCATTGATGTCAGCTATGATGATTCCGACTGAGAATTCAACCAAATAATTCATGACATGCTGATCTGTTGAAAAAGGCTGATCTTTTTGCCAAAGAGATCAGAAAGAGTTAAGAGGGGTGTGAGTTGGGGAAGCCCAAATGGTTTCTCTGCGATTGGGGTAAGAGAGGATTTCTGGCATCAGTCTCTGCCAACAGGGGTCTCAGTCTGGGTCCAAAAAAAAAAAAAAAAAAAAAAAAAAGGGGGTCTCACTCCTGCTCATTGGTTGTTACAGTAGCCATCCGACCGCCTTAGGTCCAGAAGGGAGCTGGTGACAATGGCCCAAATTCTCTTAGGGCTTTCTTAGGGGGGCATTCATTGATTGCTGTACATAGTAGTACAGTGGAATTTTGTTTCAGGAATATTGGGTGGGCTTTTCTGTTACACAAGGGGCCATGCTGCACTACCCTTGACATGCACAAAAGACAACAAATATGGCGGTGTATCTTCTTTCCATCTTCTTGAGGACGATTCATTCTCATCTTGGACATTTGGTGAGTAGTGGAGCGAGGGCCAAGGACTCGGTCCTTGAGCCGAAGCTGGGTAATGGCCTCAGTATATCTTCCGGTTTGAATTGTAAGAGGACTCTGGCACAAAACAGAAAAAGCTTTTTCATGTCATACATTTCAGATCTTCCCCAAAACAGAAAAATAACCCTGAAGATATGCGGACAAAAATAGCTGAGATGCTTTTTGTCATTGCCGCCATCTCACAATCGCCCACCGTCTCCTTTCTCACCATTCCCGTCCATACTTTTTTTCTTCTGTAGCAACATGGACATTGGGGTCGGCTTGTCTCTTTGGACATTACTGCACTTGTCTTTTTTTTTTTTTTTTTAAACAAGGCTCCGTTCTATTGGTGGGGAGCAACACCTGCTGGAACTGCAATTGTCATGCCCACCAAATGTAGAAAACGTTTGAAACGGTGCGTGTATCTTCCACTATAGGGTGGAAAGAGACACAGCTGGCAATTGCTTTTCTTCCTTTTTTTTTAGAAAGACTGTAACTTGCATTTAAAACGAAATGGATCGAGATCGGGAAGCTGACTTCACAGGGGTCAATCTGGAAGAAAGTGGGATATCGGGGCCATCTGGAGACCAGGTTCATCATCCCACTTTTTTGACAGATTTCAACAAAACAAAAGGCAACTGGAAACCTGCTGGTGGGTGCAGCTCCCGCATGTTCCCTCGTTGGAGGCTTGAGCACGGATGTGGCTGCTGCGGGGTTCCCCGTAATACGATAATGACAATAAAAAAAGGCCTGAAAGGCTGTCCTGTCCAGATTTGACAGCTAATTGAATTGGTTGAGCTTAAAAAATTAGCCTTTTTCTTAAAAAAAAAAAAAAAAAAAAAGACAAAAAGTTTGTTTCTTTATTATATAAAAAAGGAAGACAAAAGGAAAGTAGTGCTAACAAAAAAAAAAAAAGACAAAGGAAAACCAGAAGCTGAAACACTTGTGCAATGTACCCCCCAAACCAGGGAGAAAACTCTAGTTGTCCCCAAGGATCTCTCATGACTTGAGAATCTCTCATGACCTGAGAATCTCCCTGCCAGTGGGAAGATTTTGTCTGCAGCAGCTGTCCCAGAACAAAGTTGCTCCTTTATCGCATCATCCTCCATGAGTCCCCAATCGGTGAGGATCCGATACTGAAGTTGAGACCATGTTCTTTTTTTCCTTATACATCATTGGGAGATGCATATATAGAAAACTCGATATTGCCTGGTCTCGATTGATCTCGTTGATCTCAAAGATACGGATCTATTATAAATTTGTGATTTCCCCGTGTTACTGTGATCCGGGGATCATACCCCGTGCGGGAACTGTGACTCTCACACTACTTTTTATTATTATTATTTTTGACTCGTTTGCTGAATTCTTCCTTTCGTGTTAACTGTTGGGCATATCCACTTAGGGTTTTCACTGAGACCCAGGATGGGCTCAACTTGTTTTGCCCTGCTATAATCCCCCCCTGTGTTTTTGCTTGGTAGGTTTGATCATTGGTGGTTCGCTATAGTAGGGCAGAATTTAATTGTCTATGGGACTGGGTTAATCCTTCCCTCCAGGGGAAGCAAACAATGCTCAGTGCCCATGCTGTATTCTCCTTGTCTAGGGAAGCTGTCTCTGCGAGAGCAGTGGCCGGGGCTCTTCCAGCACTAATGGGAAGAGGCGTGTGTTTGCGTTGTATTCAATTTGTAATTTGAGCCTTGGACACTGGGCCCCCGTGTTAAAATAAAATAAAATAAATTAAATTTAAAAAAATAAAAAAATTCAGTACGGTGTTAAAGCACCAGTACGCTATACATAGGCCCGAGGGTGTCAGCGTGGAACCCACACCACTTCGGAGGCCGCAGATTTCTTTTTTGAGCAGCGCCACATGCCGCGCGGGCCCTCCGAGTTTTGCTTGTGGCGACAAAAACTTTCGGCAAGTCTCAGGCCGTGTACTGCCGGTTTAAAAGAACCACCAAGATTGAGGCCTTGCAGGAGAGATGGCTCCAATCTATTGGGGGGGAGGTGCACCTGCTGGAAACCGGGTCCAGCATCCCATTACAGTCAGACACAATGAGAGCCCTCACATACAGGCTCCGTTCGCCAAACTGCTGGAAAAAGACAAAGCCTTGAAATAGCATCCGGAAAGGTTTTCTGCCGAGACAGATCTCCGTTCCAATCTTCCCAGATATCAGCAAGGAGCATAGTAGCACCGAAGACTTGAGCCACATATAGTAAGTACCTCAGTGAATTTGAGCTCTGGTGTTGCAACAGGGAGGTTGTGGGTTTGATTCTGCCGACCCTCAACATCTTCTGCACACAATCAGTTGGTGCTAGGTTGGCACCCCATGTACTTGTCCCCCAGCCTAGTACAGCACTCGACAGATCCACCCGTGTTGCAAGGAAGAGGACCAGGGTTCCGTTCTGGTTGGGCCTTTACATCACATTGCATGGATATAGCTGGGGTGCAGGCAGGGATGGGCCTGGTTGGCCAAGTGGAGTGGATGATCAGTTCGGTGCTGGGGCAGTTTGTGTTGCCTTGTCACCCTAGCAAGCGGGGTGTGAGAACTGGCGACTTCTGGTACGAGGACTGTGCTGGGGCAGTTTGTGTTGTCTTGTCACCCTAGCAAGGGGGCTGTGAGAACTGGCGACTTGTGGTACGAGGGCTGAAACCCTGAGCGGCGGTTTCTTGCCTGCAGTGAGTGTTTGAGTTGTATTGTCGTGGTTATTTTTTTCTGAATCTTAGCCTATCTCATGAGGAAATTTTTGCAGGGGTTCGGAGTATTCAAAGTGCTTCTGTGGTTTGCCGTTTTGACTTGGTAAGTGCTGCTTGAGTAGCCTAGCAATAGGTTAGCAGTTACCCATGTCTTTCCTAATTTTTCTAGAATCTCTTCAAAGTTCTCAGATTGTTCCTAGCCGAAGCCAGGTAATGGCCCTGGTATTTCAAATCATTTGTATATTTCTATATGGGACACTGGGCCCGGTTCCCAGCACGTGTTGCTCCCCACGAATAGACTAGAGCATTTGTCCCAAAAAAAAAAAAAAAAAAGGAGTGGATGATCATGCATAGTTGGTAAACTTAAGGCCTTGTTTTGGGGGGGGTGGGCCGCAGGTGGAATGATGATGGGAGAACTTGTAGTGGAGGGATTGTCTTGTTCCCATGAAAGATAGACCAGAGTAAGACCATTTGATGACAGAGGTATGAGAGTGGATGGTGGCGGTGTTGGGCGCTGCTCTGGGTGATGACAGGACAGCTACAATCACTGGAGGTATCTAGTGGATGACCTAGGTATGGATGGTGGCCAGGAAACTACTGATGGCAGAGGCTAGACTACCTCCAGATAATAAATAACCAATAACCACAAGAAAACCAACACAAGGGAACAGAGAGGGTCTAGTGGACAATTAAACCAACAGTTCTTCGCCCATCTATTGATGCCGAGCCTCAAAACGCCCTGCGCGCCAAATTTTGCCCAACCGGCAGCCCGGCATTTTTTTTCCTTTTGGCTGGCATGTGATAAGCCAAGCTCTGTACCTCGCGGCTTTATGTACCCGTCGGAGTAAACCCCTAAGTAAGGCTAGAAGTACGGATCTTGACCAATTAGAACAAAAGGGGTCCATTTTGAATTTTTGATGGCATCTGCCTGGATCTTTCGGGTTTGCCCTTGTCCTTGTTCAAATTATTATCGTGCGGCCGACTGGCGACCGCACGGGAATTTAAACCACCAGTACCTACCGGTTGTTAAGGCCCGTGGCTCAGGCTACCGGTAGCCTGGTCATTCCCGAGCCTCGGACAACCGGTAGGACACAACGARAAAAAAAAAAAAAAAAAAAAAAAAAATTAGCTTCTTTAGGAGTGATCACGTCCTCTATTCAATGTATTCATGAACGTATTGTGAATTAAGTGTTTGATTAATTCAAACAGTGAATTAAGTGTTTGATTAATTGCTCCCGTTCTTCGCAATGACATCGCGCTACTAGCGCTAACCTGCGCTGCGGACCGGCCGGCAGGGCCCGGCCGCACTCCGTGGACTGGTGCATAGGTGGAGATGTGGGGCCACCACTGCACCTGGTCGTCCTGCTGCCCGTCTGGTGTTTTGGCCCGGGCGTTGGTGGGGGAGATTCCACGTGGCAGCTCGAGGAGACGGCACGTCGGCGTGACGGAATTAAGGTGTGTCTAATTACGACGTGGCGCGGCTGATTGGGGAGCGGTCTCGACAGAGAAACGAGATAAAATAACAGCGGAAATTAGGTTAACAATGGCCTCAACCGTGTCGACATCAACGACACAAATTGCGGTTGAGGAGGCGTTCATGCAGGATGCTGCGGTGGCTGCCATGTTCGAGGAAGAGGGGTCTGTGCTGGTATGGGTGCAGATGCATAGGCGGCAGATGGATGAGATATATGTGCTGCTCACTCAGCATCAACATGATATTCCACCGGAGCTTTTGGAGGAGGTGGAGGAGCTGTCCGATGGTTGGGAGGAGGAGCTCCATGAAAACCTCCCTTGGCAATGCTTGAGTGCCGCTGAAAACGCGCGGGTGATGGAGGAGTTGGCGGGGTGTGCCAAACTGCTGGGGGAAGTGAAGGGTTCCCTTGTAGATATAAGGAAACGGTTGTTGGACGTGGCGCCTGAGGAGGGCCGGGGGCTGCGTTCATCACCCGGTTATTGGAGAGAAGAGGACACTCCTGTTTCGGATGCTTTTCTTGTCGAGGGGATGGTGACTTGCCGCAAGGAGCCTGAGGAGGGGCAGGGAACTCGCGGTGAATTGGACAAGCGATCGTTTGCTGGCGACGAGGAATGCGTTCGTTTGGATGAGGGGGCTACAACCATGCGCGTGAACTACATCAAAAACAACAGCAACAACAACAACAACAACAATAACAACAACAACAGCCAAAACAACAACGGTAGTGTTTTCCTCACGTGCAGCATCAACGGAGTTATTGGCAGAATGTCTCTCGAGGGGTGTGAATCAGAAAACGACGATGAAAATGATGATTTATTCGCCGACGATAAGACTGGGGAGCGCAGCCATTGGGACAATGGTTTCTTTATCATTGCTGCAGCTGGCTAAGACACAAACAACATGAATATTCACGGTGATAGTCTTGATGATCTCAACAAGGATGATGATAACAATGGTTTGGCGGGAGACATCATGGCCGGCGGGCGCGGTGATTGCGACAACACTTTTGCGAAAACAGCTGGTAATAACCAAAATGAAAAACCAATTCACAGCGAAACCTGTGGATGGGGAAGCGTGAATGGCCACTCCCTTCCCCTTTCTCCCCATCTGCCCCGCTTCCCCCTTTGCTGCTATCTCTCGGCATCGTGGGGAAGCGTGAATGGGCACTCCCTTCCCCTTTCTCCTTACCTGCCCCGCTTCTCCCTTTGCTGGTGTGTTTCGGCGTCAGATTGGGGTTTTGGGCGAGCGGGATGGAGGATCGGGAGGTTTTGCAAATGGGAAGGCTGGGCGGGAATGTTGAAAGTGGGATGGCGGTGCGAGGGGGTGGGGTAGTGTCGTTAGGAAAACGGATCGCATGGGGTAATAAGTGAGCGGTGGAAGATGTGTGGAGAATTGCTTATGCACGGCTCCTTACCTTGTGTGGCTTTTTACGAGATAGGATTTCGCCATATGGCAGTAGGAAAACGGATCGCATGGGGTAATAAGTGAGCGGTGGAAAATGTGTGGAGAATTGCTTATGCACGGCTCCTTACCTTGTGTGGCTTTTTACGAGATAGGATTTCNATCGCATGGGGTAATAAGTGAGCGGTGGAAAATGTGTGGAGAATTGCTTATGCACGGCTCCTTACCTTGTGTGGCTTTTTACGAGATAGGATTTCACCATATGGCAGTATAGATGGCACAACGACGAACTGACATCGGGAATAGGCGTTTGGTGTTGGGGTTTGCCACGTGGTTGTTTGCGTGTGGATGCGCCTACCCCCTTCTGTTGATGAAGATGAAGATTTTGCGTGCATTTAGCCTTCTCTGATTACCCCTTCTTTTGCTTTATAAGCTTTTAGGGAGGGCACATATCCACAGTCTTCAAGGGCAGTTGTGTCGTTTCGTCTACTACTCTCCCTCCTGCTGACCGCCCTTCCTCCTCATGGTATGGTGACGGTTTCGTGGTATACGATGAGGAGCTCAGAGCAGGGATGTATTCTTGAATATGGTTTTAAATAACGATGGCCAGTTAATCCCCTCAGGCGAGGGCAATCAATGCTGCCCGTCGATCGCTTGCTGTGCTTGCCTGCGGTCGCTTTTGATGGCTACTTTGAAGACCGACACGTGGTAGGCTTTCATGACTTCAATTTCCCTGATAACAATCATGTCAAGGGACGCTGGACCCCGTTTCCAGCAGGTGCTGCTCCCCACCAATAGATGGAGCCTCCCCGAGCATGCTAGTGGTGTCTGGTCTTATCAGCACCTCTAGCATCTACTCGGGTTGT